AAATCCATGCCCACCCATTACCCACAATATTCGGGTTGGGGTTTTACCCGTACCCACTAAATGTCTTTCGGGTTCGGGTTTTATCCTACCCGATTAGGCCGGATTCGGGTGGATATCCACGGTTACAGATATTTTTGACATCCCTAACTACTCCTATGTTATATGCTTCTATCATATGCATGTAGGTTTAATTGGTGACAAGATTATACATGGTTGTTTTTTATGTATGCTTGATACTTAGATCATCGATTCTATAGATGATAATTATGGGTCATAGAGGCCTTAAATAGCAATGTGATATCCTTACTTCTTTGGTTGATTGATTGTTTAATCACATGATGCAAAAGCACATAATAGCTAGTTGTCGGAGAATTTTTACTTGTTTACTACATCAAGTTTTTGGTCCTGTTGCCGGAGAATTTTTTTTATAGTATTTGAAAGAAGCTATCATTTTTTGTTTGATACTTATATAAGGTATTACACTCTAGTTTGTTTTATTTTCATTTCTAGACCCCACAAAGAAAAACGGCAGTGTAAGTCATCAAAGAACAAATACTATAAGAAGCTTAGAACTCAAACCATCAACATTACAAGAAGAAATATGGGTATCGTATCTCTATTCGAGTATTTTTCGACCGAATGCATCAATATAATTTTGAGGACATACAACATCCATCATGTGATGAGCATCAATGACGTGGGACTAAAGCAACTTCTTGAAGGTGCACAAAGCATCAATATCAACAAGAAGCCAATGAAGGGCCCCTCAATGAGATGCAAGAGATATCGGGAGAGATGGTAGACTTAGGAGAGGAAGGTGATCTGATGGCTCTCACGATTGTTGAGGAAAAATATGAGCCTACCATTCAATCTTTATAAGGAGAAGAAGGAAAGATGCCCCATCTAGAAGATGCAATGGAGGAAGAAGGTTGTAGTCTTGAATTTTACACTATCATCAAACTTTATTGGATTCCTGGGAGGATGTTGAAGGCAACCCAACATATGTTTGTGTTTATTTTTTATGTTAAGTATTAGTAATGTGTAATAACCTCGCCTTGAGGGAGTATGTGCGTGTGTGTGTTTGGTTTTTGTCTCCTTGAAGATCTCTCCTCTTCATCTCTGGCCCATTTTCTGTCCCAACTCTCACTCCCCAAGCTATGCGGTAACATCGTTCTAACCCCTTATTTTACGCCATTGAGGGCAATGTCGAGCTTAAATGTGTGTGTGGGGGGGGGGGGGATAGTCTATCTATTATGCTTGTGCATGTGATTGAGCACTTGGAGCATTGTTGTATGCCAAAAAAAAATTGAGGGCTCCAAACATTGCATGTTCATTGTGGCCGGGTTGTGGGTGAATCTCATAATTATTGGCATTTGACTTTGGATTGATTGCTTGTGATCTAGTGCATCTTATTATGATGATTGAGAATCTCATTATGGTGCAAATGTTTAGCTCTCATATGTGTGCAAATGAATGGATGTCTTGACCAGAGTACTTATTGATTGCAATTGCCATGCATAGAAATTTTTGAAATTGGAATGGATGATTGAGCGGCTAGGTAGCCATGTGAGATTTGTGCATACCTTCTTTTTCATGTGTGACATATCCCTAACCATGGCGAGTAACATTCACATTTTCATTAGCAAGGAAGATGGAGGCATAAGATTGGTCCACGCCTAAAATTTGATTGTCCCGAAACATCTTATCCCCTAGTCAACCCCTTTGAGTCGTGTGACTTTGGGGTCGTTCTCATGTAAGGAGCTTGTTGCTTTTTGAACTTAATGGTGATTGATAGAACGACCATTTTCCTTTCTTCATGTCTAAACTGTTGTGAGTCATCTTTGTGTCTCGGAGTTCTCGCTTTTGAGCTCCATTGAGGTTCTACATAGGTGGATTTTGTACGGTTCTTGCGAGAAATAAAAAGGTAGTGTTGGAGGAAGTTCCGAATATAGATCATTGTTCGTTAAGTGTAAAAGTGACATGTTTTTAGCTCTCTAATACCCCCTCAAAAAAAAAAGGAAAGTGAAAAAAGAAAAGATTTGAAAGAGGTAATAAACAAGGTAAATAAAAGATAGAGAGTTGCCACAAATGATGATGTGTATGCTCTAGAAAGGGTTTCTTGGCACTCAAGCCATTGAAACACCTAATTTCTTGTTGACCTCCTTCACTACTATGCTTGAAAATTGGATAGCAGGATTAGCCGAGGAAGTGTGCTTGAATGTAGTTCGTGATTGCTAGTGGTTTCGAAGAAGGAAAATGTGGTTTTTGGCTGATGCTAGTAGTCTTTGATTGTAGGAAAGGTTAGAGTCGAAACCATAGAACCTTTGGTTTTAATTTGAAAATGTAGAACCTCATGATATGTTTGCCACCACCCAAAAGGCTTTTTTCCCCATGTCCAAGACCCTTGCCAGTCATCTGAACCCGTGTCTAAGACCGTCGAACACGCTAGTGAAGACAACCATCTTGTAAACTCTAACATTTAGAGGTTACCGTCATGGTGAAGAGACATTAGGGCTGAGTGTTAAAGATTTATTCTATGGCAAGCTAAGGCAAGTCAAACTGAAGTTGAAAAAAAACTCAACAGGGAAGTTTATGCTGATATATCTGCTCAGGTTCATGATAGTGAGAGGCAATTCGAGATGTTACAAATGACTCTTCTTGCAATTCGAGATGTATTCATATCTCCCTCATGCCCCTCTAGTGAGGTAGAAAAGTAGCTTGCATCTGAGTATCATGAGTTGCAAAAAGCTTAAGAAAGCTTCTATAAACAGAAAACTCAGATCAAGGGGTGCATGAGGGAGATATGAATACATCTTTCTTTCATCGTTCTGTGAAGGTTCATACTATTGCCAGCAGATCCCGTGTATACTTAATTCTCAAGGGCAAGAGGTGACTGCTGTTAAGGATATGGGAAGAGTTGCAGTGAATTTTTATAAGAATCTAATTGGGGAGGTTGATCTTGCTGTCATTATGTAGCCTTCCAGCTTCTGTGAACAATTATCTCTTGAAACACTTTCAAATGAGGAGGCTCTTTTTTTGGTATCTCCAATTTCTAGGGAGGAATTTCGTCAAGTATTCAGGAAGCTTGGTAGGGACAAGGCCTCGGGTCCACACGAGTTTCCTTCTGAGTTCTATATGCTCCATTGGGACCTTATTGGTAGCTTGGTTGAAGATGTGCCTCTGAACTTCTGTTCTTCTGACATTATGCCTCAAGTTCTGAATTCTAACCTCTTTACTCTTGTGGCTAAGATCCCAAATGATGAAAAAATGAAAGACTTTCGCCTCATCTCATGTTGTAATACGATTTATAAGGGGACTTCAAAGGTTCTAGCCAACAGGTTAGCATCTGTTTTACCTACTTTAATTTCCTCATCTCAGTATGCTTTTATTAAAGGTTGGTCCACAGTGATAATATTCTCTTGGCGTCGGAGTTAGTGAAAGATTTTCATAGGAAACATATCTCTCCCCATTGTTCTGTCAAAATTAATATAATGAAAGCATTTGACTTGGTCAATTGGTCTTTCTTGTTCTATGTTCTTAGCACAATGGGACTCCCTGACTTGTTCATCAAGTGGTTGAAAGCGTATATTTCCCAAAGGTTAGTGTTGGCTTAAATGGTGGCATTTGTGGGTTTTTAGATAAAAAAAGGGTCTTAGGCAAGGTGACCCGCTCTCTCCCTATTTGTTTACGGTTGCAATGGAAGTCCTTGATCCTATGTTGAAGATTGCAGTTAGGCAAAATCAATTCCTTTGCATTCTAGGTGCAAGCTGTTAGCAATTACACATTTGTTAAATCTCAGCATATTCCCAGGGGGAATCTATCTTAGAACTATGAACTCTTCATGTTTGCTTTTATGAATATTTGCAATCAGTGTGTGACTGCTGATCTAAAACTATGGATTGTGTTATCTTTTTGGATGTCTTTTTGCGAACTAGCACTTTTCTATGATTTGGTTTATTTCGGTTGTGTACCCAGACACTTTTTTCTAGCAACTGGACTTTTGTTATTACTATGCTCTTCCCTTGTGTTGACGAGTGTGTGTGTGTTTCTTGTTTTGTTTCAGGTTTCGGACGATTATGGCAAGGTCGAAGGCGAAAATTGTTGGATGCTTCCTCTGGCACGACGACGTTTCTTCTCAAGACTGGACGATGCTGTTTCGACTCTTCCAGAAACGATGTCGCTGAAGCTCTGATAGTCCCTTTCCTTCATCACCTCCAGACAGCCTCATTCAAGTGCATCAAAGAGAAGCTCCCAAAAGGCAAATCAACTTTCTCGATGCTCCAAGAACAGCTCATATCTTGAGCATCTCAAAAGTTCATCTTCCACAACAGATCTCCCTTTATGAATCCTTTTATCAACCTATTTAAATCCTCGGCTCCTCCTAAAGAAAGCAACGGTTTTACAATCTACAGAGTGTGTGAAAGGATTGTAGAAGGGTTCCCTAATACATCGATCCTTCAAGTCTTCAAAGTCTGCAAGTGAAGTGTTATTCTGGGAAGATTAGAAGTGGGAAGTTTCGATCTATTGGCTGAGTGTTCTAGAGATTTCTCTCCTTTTGTTCTTTTTCGCTCTTTGTTTCTTTGTTTTTCCTTTTTATAGACTAAATCCCTTGTATTCACAAGTCTTAAGCAACCTTAATGACTGAAGACTAGTATCAATCCAGAACCTGACTTTCCTTTCATTTTTTGTGTTCTTTCCTTTCACAAAAACCCTAAATTGATCCAAACCCAGTCTTAGAATCTCAGAGAATTGGGGAGCTTGTTCTTCGACACTGGAGAGCTTGCATGACATCGATCAAGAAAGCAAAAAATGAAAGATATCGGTCCTTGACATGACGATATCCAACAGTAAAAAGAGTAGAAAAGGAATTTGTTTCTTCTCCTTAGTGTAACTGGAGAAGAAACAGATTCCTTCATAAATCATGTACAAGCATCTCGACTCCAATAAGAACCGGTTTCTTTAGAACTAAATGCATGTGTCGCCTGTGAATTAAAGTAGGATGTTTGGTTACTTTGGCAACTTCAGTGCTCACTTCGATGCCTACCTATGCCATGCAAACTACGTACCTTCCGATCTCTATCTGTGATGCTATTGACAGGAGGGTACGAAGCTTTATCTGGGGTTCTACGGCGGATAAGAGAAAGATCCACTTAGTGCATTGGGAGGGCATTTGTCGACCAAAACACGAAGGCGGACTTGGTCTACGCCAAGCGCATGAGCTTAACCTTGCCTTTTTGGCAAAACTTGCTTGGGGTTTCATCAAAAACCCAGATGAATTGTGGGTGCAGGTGCTGCAGGCCAAATATTTCCGGAATGCGAGGGGAACAATGGTGGCGAAGTCCATGGCGCGAGCCTCTTCCCTTTGGCGAGGAATGAGAAAGGCCTGGCCCATCATGACATCTAGAATGGGGATGACGGTGAAGGACGGACGCTCCACGAGTTTCTGGACGGACCGCTGGGTGGGTGGTGACATGACTCTCCTCGATCACTCTTTGCTAGATGGGCCACTACCTGACCTGACAACCCCAGTTGCCAACTTTGTCAACGATCAAGGTGAGTGGGACTTGCCCCTCCTCTCAGATTGCTTGCCACCTGACCTTGTCTCGCTGGTAGTCGGTGTACAGCCTCCAATCGCGGATGTAGGCGAGGACGTCCCACTTGGTTTCCCGAGGAGGATGGACGGTTCCGCGTCAGATCTGCCTACGCCATCGCCACTTCCTACGACGAGTCCACCCAGCAGACTGATTGGCGCACCATTTGGCAGTGGGAGGGCCCAGCCCGGGCAAAGCATTTTCTCTGGCTGACGATACGAGATAGACTGTTGACCAATGCTGAATGCGAGCGGCGCCACCTGACGACAATCACAACTTGTCCTCGATGCAAGCAATCTACTGAGACAGTCCTGCATGTCTTGCGGGACTGCCCCTTTTCCCGGTTAGTTTGGATGCAGCTAATCCCTCTTTCGGATCACCAGCGCTTCTTTGGCAGTTCACAGCAGGTTTGGATCCTTGATAACCTCCGGCATCAGCACTTCAGCCTCGAGTTCGGTATTACTTGTTGGGCCCTTTGGCGGTCCAGAAACGATCTTGTCTTTGCAGGAAAGATCGTCCCACCTGAAGCCTTCATACAGCGGGTCCGAGCTTGGTTACCTGTAGTGAGGAAAGCTCTGGACCAGGACAGGCTCATCCATAGGCCTAGTCCACCCGCCAGAACGGAGGAGCTGATCCACTGGCAGCCGCCTCCTCCCGAGTGGGTTTGCCTCAACTCTGACGGCTCCGGTTTCCCTTCATCAGGCCATGCTGCAGCTGGTGGTCTGATTCGCGATCATTTAGGGCGTTGCTTAACAGCGTTCGCTATTAACCTGGGCACCTGCTCTATAACCCAGGCTGAGTTGAGAGGCGTTGTTGAAGGCTTACAGGTGGCTTGGGATGCAGGTCATCGCCGAGTACTAGTTCAACTGGATTTCCAGTGTGCGGTGCAGCTGTTGCAAGGCGAGACGTCCGATGACCATCCTTATGCGGCCTGCATTTCCCGTTTTAGAGAACTTTGTTCTCGGTCTTGGAGTGTGAAAGTGTCCCATATCTACCGTGAAGGCAATGTTTGTGCTGATTACCTTGCTAGTCGAGGTCTCTCTCTTCCTTTTGGTTGTCATTTGATCCCGACCTCTGATCCTTTGCTGTCTTATTGGACATTGTATGACTGTCAGGGGGTTTCCATACCCCGCTGGTTTTGAATGAAAGATAGGGTGCTCTGCATCCATTACCAAAAAAAAAAAAAGAGGTTGTTTGGGTTCGCAGTGAGGCCTCCATCAAACACAATCATGTGGGCCAAACTACGAGGATTGGAGGCTGAATGGTGCGCCATTTTCTTATGGAATCGGCCCATCCCATGCAGACCTGCAGGGTTGACGATCTTGTCATTGTGTTTAGCACTAAAAAAATCACTCAATACCACATTGATTATTTTCAAGGAGTGGTAGTGATTTATAAGGCCAGCTCAACATTAATGATTAAAAGAGCTAGTTGGGCCTTGTTGGGTTGGGTTTTTGGGCCTAAGTGGCCAAACCCCTTCTTCTCTATACAATGGCCGACCCGTCTCCGTGGCCTCCATAGTCGGACGATGCCTCCACCCCTTGGTATGAAATTTGACTAAGTATGGAGACCCAACCACAAGGGGGGTCATGCATGACCTCGTCCAAGGTGGTCTCGTCAAAGGGGGTCATGCATGACACCGTCCAAGGGGGTCATGCATGACATCGTCCCACGGGGGTCAAGCATGATGTCATGAAAAGGGGTCATCGCGCTAGACCGTGATGGGAAAGAAGGCGAAAATTGGCTAAGTGTTGAGACCCATAGCACAAGGGGGGTCATGCATGACACCGTCCAAGGGGGTCAAGCACAAGGGGGGTCAAGCATGATGCTATCCAAGGTGAGTCGATGTTGGCAAGTGAAGAAGGGCAACGCTAGTCTAGCGAGTCCCTAGATGTGGTGGCGAAGAAAGCCAAAATTTGGCTAAGTGTAGGGGGTCAAGCATGACACCGCAAGGGGGGTCAAGCATGACACCGCAAGGGGGGTCATGCATGACACCGTCCAAGGGGGTCAAGCACAAGGGAGGCCATGCATGAGGTCAAGCCTGATACCATGAGAGCCAAAATTTGGCTAAGTGTTGAGACCCATAGCACAAGGGGGGTCATGCATGACACCGTCCAAGGGGGTCAAGCACAAGGGGTGTTGAGACCCATAGCACTAGGGGGTCATGCATGACACCTACCTCGCGGGTGAGTACTCCTAGACATGATGAGGTGAAGAAAGCCAAAATTTGGCTAAGTGTTGAGACCCACAGCACAAGGGGGTCAAGCATGCCACCACAAGGGGGGTCATGCATGACACCGTCCAAGGGGGTCAAGCACCAGGGGGTCATGCATGACATCGTCCAAGGGGGGTCTCGTCCAAGGGGGTCAAGCACTAAGCCATCTACCTACCTTGCACCAAGGGGGTCAAGCGTGATATCATCCAAGGTGAGTCGAGTATGGCGAGACGCAAGGGGGGTCTAGCCGCGTACCGGGTATCAAGCATGTTGGCAAGGGAGTCCCTAAACCATGGCGGTGAAGAAGGCCAAAATTTGGCTAAGTATGGAGATCCAACTACAAGGGGGTCAAACACTGATACCAAATACTAGGGTGTCAGCCATGTATATCATCACATGGTAGATCACCTTGTCAAGACCCTGCAAGCATGATGCCACCCCAAGGGGGTCCGTGTGCATCCATCAAACCCCCAATCACCCTGGTGTCGAGCATGACGTCATGTCAAGGGGGTTAGCACGAGTACCACCAAGCGTGAAGCCTTCACTCACCAAACAAGACAGTCAAGCAAGCTACATCAAACACCAAGCAGTGGAGCAGCGGTTACCAAGAGGCGGTTGCACAACGGTTACAAGGGATGGCTATAAATAGGAGAAACGAAAACGAAGGAAAGGTTCCACAACCAATCATTTGACACACTATGTCAAAATTTATCTTTTCCCTGCAACTTGTCTTTTAGTTTTCGGAGCTCTCACTGAACCTCCATAGGAGTAGAGTAACGTAACTTAGATTGTTCCCAAAAACCATCAAAAACATCAAACACCCTCGTTCGAACATTGTTCGAAGAGGAGTGAACCGTGTTATTAATCGTTGTTCGAGAAGTCAAAGGTGCATTCATTGTGTTCAAACACCAGTATTTCCTCGCTGGAAAACACATTGACATATCCAATGCATGCAATGAGCTGAAGAATTTAGGCGAAAAGCCAAAATCATGTGGCTTGCTTAGCTTTATTCTTGGCTTGCGATCTTTCGGATCAAGTGCTTACCCCCATTTCGTGAAGCATGGGTAAATGGTTTGAAAGTTTACTTTCATGGGACCAAGATCTACTCGGGTTGTGAGGGAGATGATATGAATCGATATGTTCAAAATCAACAGGAAGTATCACAAGACAAGACTAAGGAACACTGAATCAATATGTTTCCTGCCGAGGAAGTAGCCAAGTTGGTATTAAGATTAGGAGAAAGTTTCGATATAATTAGGAGAGGAGATGGTTAGTTTTACATCTATCAATATGTCCTTGTCTTCTTAGCTTTAAAAATAGGGTTAATACATTATATTAGCCACAATTATTATGAAACGGGGAATTATAGCCACAACTATGAAAATTCAAATTATTAGCCATAATTATTGTTGCAGGTCAAGATATGGCTAACTGTTTGTTACTGTTATTGAATTTTTGACGGAGAAGGCCACGTCATCGGCCACAACTAGCGGCCACGTAGGAATGCTTTTAGTTTATAACTTCAAAACATAAAAATTTAGTCAGTATTACTAACGAAATTGTTAACATATAGTTAACGTTTGGCTAATAATTTGAATTTCAATAGTTGTGGCTATAATTCCCCGCTTCATAATAGTTGTGGCTAATATATTGTATTTACCCTTAAAAATACGAAGAAGAAAATTCTAATAACAATTCGGTTTATCATTATTTTTCGGACGAGAATCGAATCCGATAGCACATTTTATATTCTGGAAAATTCAAATCCTATAACGTTTTAGTGAGTACTCTAGAAGATAAGGAAGGAAGTATTGATAGAAGAGATAAACATGTCAACCATCTAATAAATGAATGAGCACTAGCTTCATTGATTGATACAATTTAAACCTATAAAGTTTTGGCGAGTCTGGAAAATATCCCAAACCTATTGATTGAATGCTCAACGTTGTTTTGGCTGGATACATTTTTTTGTTGAATTTATAAATTCCAACAAATATGTGAATGAATCTGGTTCATATATTACCTGCAAATAAAGTAAAAGAAGGTAATTTATGAAGGGAAGTGATCAATTTGGTTTGCCTAGAACCGGAAAGAAGCTTGAACTTGGAGAGATGGCCACAAGATTCCAAGTGATCAATTTGGTTTGCCTACATTTACATTTTAGATTTACATGTGTGCATCCACCGTGGGAAAAATGAAGGAGGAAGCAGCCCTGAAAAAGTGAAAGTATGAGTTGTAGGCCTTATTAACCACTTGGTGGGCGACACATCAGAAAGGAACTCGGGTGGGCCCATGATTTTTTTTCGTAGACGTACTAGGAATAGTAACCTTGGCAAGGAGCTATTCAACTTGGACGAAATTCAACCATTTCTGGTAATGAAATAAAGTCGAAACCTGTAAATTTGGGATCTACTGTTGGGCTAAGATTCTGTGTTGGCATTTGAGAGTGGAGGAGCTAGAGGGATTGACATCAGATGGGCTACATCTCAACCCAGCATAGGAAAAGGAAAAGGGAGAAAAAGAAAAGGCTGTTTGGATTATGTTCACCAAAAAGAAATTGTAAAAAAAGAAAGGAAATGAAGTATAGGCCACCATTTTATACGATCAACTGTATAGTCACTCGCATTTGTACAATTATTAATTTTGATTTCTCCATACAATCATATAACCTTGTTCTAGAAGTTTTTTTTTTTTTTTACTAACTACCCATTTAAAATATAGCATCAATGTTGTTGGGGGACTGCAGCAAAGTCTTATAATGTTTCGTAGATAAATCGCCTCTAAAACTCAGCTACCAACACGAGTCAAAAATTTCTTATATAAGAAAAAAGAACGAAGTTCATTTATTTCGATGCTAGTGTGATTAAGCCCTAAAAAAATTAAATAATTTTCATGACACTCAAAATCAAATATTATATCACTTCTTTAACCGCGATGAGAAGTTTTGATAGACTCAACATGTTGACCTCGAGTCATTCAAAGATCTGGTTTCCTGACATGATATCATGTAGTCTTTTGAACTAAGATATTTCGTGCGTTTAAAACTTGGTAGATAAATTATCGTAAGTTATTGATTTACCCAAATAGTATAACAGATTAGTGTAAACCTTGAATTTAAACTATGAGTTGACTTTTATTTGAAAAAATTTATAGACAAATGATATAAGACTTATTTTTTAATATTTTCTTTAAACCGGAGTCATTAGGGTGAATTGTTTGTTGATAGAGTTCAAAGAGCTGAGGTAGGTTTAAATCCATGCGTGTAAAGTTTTCATTTATATTTTTATTCTTCAATCAAGGGTTTAGAATACCTTAAAAAATGGAAATGAGAATGAGCTTTGGGGGCCCGGCTTACATCCAAACCAAACTCTAGATGAGCAACCAATATAATTGGGTTAATATAGTTTTCTTAAGTTTTGATTTGCAACCTTGCAATCAGACTGTGGCAAAGGAAAAGAAATCTGAAAATGGACAAAAACCAAACCACTCGTATATAGTACAACAAAATACGTCTGTGGACGTTTTTTTTCCTTCTGTTTGGTGAGAGCCAAAAGCAAAGGAGAAAAAAAAAAAGTAAAGAAACAAAAAGCAAAAAGAAGCAGCATTATTTGCATATTCCTACTGTAGACGCATAATCTCCTAGTTGGATAGATTGATTGATCTCATCTCCCTATTGCAAGTTGGAATTCGTAGTGCCAAATTGGTCCCTCTCTCTCTCCTTTCTCTCATGTTCTCTCTCTCTCTTCCCACCTCCCCCTAATCCTATATAAAGCCGTCAAGCCCATTTCCAACAATTGCAACACAGCAAACAGACAGAAAAATAGAGAAAACTCCAAAAACAAAAAAAAATGGCGGTGCACTTCTCATTGATGTTCCTTTTCGGTCTTCTAGGTAATACATTAAAAAATAATAATTACTATTCAAAAT